GCATTTGGGTGTTTTTGAGGAATAATTTTGCACAAAATGTACATCTGTAAATGAAATCCAGGTTGTTGTTTTTAAAATGAAACGAATAAAATCTCTAACAATTTTTGGAGTTGTATAATTGTCCATATTTCTATTTCATGATGTATGAAACGTGTAGAAGAATTTAAGATGAATGAATCATGCAACAAAAATAACATTTTGTTATATAAGAAAGGAATGATTAGAACTGGTGTTGATACTTTCTACTCTGTCACTGAATGTTTAGTAAAGGGGGTGTAAGACAAATCTGCTTGAAATACCTTCTCTGTGTGTGCAGTTGTATCTAAGGTTTAAAAGGTAAACTGGTATATGCACTAGAAAAATATAAGGAAATAAAGGATTCTTAAGCTTAAATCATACTGAGCATATCCACTCATTCTGCGTCATCCACACACTCATGCGTTTACCATCTTTCCACAAAAACCGAACAAAGGGAATCTGCTTCTATATTTCTGACCTCGTTGTCTCAGCCTTTGTCCTACTTCCCCCTTTTAGCCCCCCTCCACATTTGTCCATTTATTTCCAAGTTGATCCCGACCTTTCCTCATTGGCCTCCCTCACCTCCACCCACCACAGCGTCCCTTCTGCCAGATCCAGGCTGTTCGTAATTGCTCATATCCAGCCTCCAGCCAACTTACTTTAGCCCCCCGCCCCACCCAACACTGCCTCTCTGCCAGGTGGCTGACTCGCCAAATCGTTCAGCTGCTGCACAAGCTGCGTAGCCCCTCCTGTCCTGTCTCACTGACCGATAGCAGTGGGTTAATGGGTCTTTAGGTGGAGAGTGAAAGCAGGATGATGTTAGCTGAAGAAGTTAAGGCTTTTTTCCTTCAGTAAGGAAATAATTGATCCATTTTACTTGTTTTCCGTGGTATCCTAAGCCTTCTGGTCTCCAGTTCATTACTTCTTTTTATACAGGTTATAATTCTTGATCAGTTAATGCACTATTTTTTTCTTAAAATTAAAGCTTAAAAAAAAAAAGTTAAATGCATTATTATGGAAGATTGTATCCAGATTTGATTACTACTTAAGTATTTATGGAGCCACGTGTGATAAAGCTCTGTTAAATATACTTATGCATCCTGATCACTGCCCTTTCAGTCCATCTCTCCTGATCGTTCGTTTGGCATTTGCACACAATTCGTGTAATTTGCTCTGCAAGGTTGCCTTGGTGATGCTGCTTTAGCACCGAGCGTTGCTCCAAGGCTGCTCCTGTTGCTCGTGCTCAGAGCATTTTCTTCAAATCAGCAGAGTAGCAAGTGAAATTACATTGTGTAGAGGACTTCACAATCCACATGAACCTGCTCACCGGGCCTGTAACCTTCAGGTTTTTTCCCCCGATGTAGAATCTCTACAGACAATCATTGCGTTTGATCATTAGTTGTGAAGGCGAGTAGATAGGATTCAAGGTGATTACTCCCTCTCTGAAATGTGTTGGAAGGTAAATGTAAAATAATTATATCAGAACTGCAGTATTATATCGTATTTGAATAAATAAATGTGATTCTGTATGAAACAGTCGCTACACAATGTAAGTAGCTACACCCAGGGGTTAAAATGGGATTTGACACATAGAATTTGGTGTAGCAAAGCAGCAGCGAGAAACAAAAATGTCAATAATAATTGTAATGCATGAGAACTGTATATGAGCTTTCTTGACTGCTTACCAACCGTATTCAGTATAAAGGTGGAATTTTTATAATCACACTAAAAAGCCTCATCAGTTAAAATACATTACAGCTAACAACTGCTATTCAAGTCTTTCTAGAAGCATGTCCTATTGGTCGTGAGCAACCTTAGAAACATCTCTGGTCATTTATTAGGGCAATCGTTTTAAAGAATAATAAAAACCGCCTTTCATTTTAGTGGTCAGTTAGACAAGCTATTCACTTTATGCTTAATCTACATCCTGAAGACCCCCCCCCCTTGATTGACACGTGGCTGTTTGAAGTTCTGACTACATAAAAGATGGTTGTAGCCGCATCATTGACATCACAAATGAATTTTAGACTCTCTTGAAGGTTCAAATTTAGAACTTTGGCTGCTGCCATGTTGAGGTTTCTTTTGGAACCAGTTGTGAAGGTGGAATGCTAATGCAAACTGTACGGGTGAAGTGCACAGAGACAAATATCGGCTAATTAGTACCGACTAACAGACTACTGAAGCACAACCTTCTTGGTTGGTCTGTACCACACAGTAAGTCATAACCATTAAATATGTTCCAAAAGGCCATAACAGCACAGACACACACAGTGAAGAGCTCCAGTATAGTGGATGAGGCCTAGAAGACTGCGGTCAGTCAATTCAACGACACCCCACACTCAGATATCCAGGTGGATAGGTTAAAAACAAATCACCCCACTCAAGAGGACACTAAGGCCAAAACAATATTTTGTGTAAGGCTATAAAAATTAGTGTTTTAATGTTGTAAAGAAGGACATTTTAACATGGGAGTCTGAGCAGTGGCTCTCTTTTAGAACCAGCCTGAAGTGGGACATAGAGTAGCTACAGTTTTTCTAACTCCATGTTGTCTCCATTTTTCATCTCCCCTGTTGCCCCGTGGACATGTGGAGACTGTGCAGGGATGATTTTCCTTTCTCAGTGGAATAAACGACGTCAAACTGCAGCATATTAAAAACAAACTCGATGTTATTTTGCATGAATCCACTCATTTATTTAATTACTCACTAAATGAAGAGGCCAGACCATCAACCCGCCACCCCGCTTTAAATCATGACTACACCTCCACATTTTTACCACATTGTCATCAATTCCTAAAATTTGGGAGCTGTGGTTTCCTGAGCAGGTGCCAATGACTAGAACCTCGGGGGTGACACCTGTCTCATTTAAAACTCTGAGGGTCAGCTCGCCTCTTTTGGTACTGAAGTGTCTGGTGTCATCACGGCAAAAATGTGAAGAGCCCTCTTCAGAGAAAACATTTTGGATTCTGTACAAATTGGCAAAGGAATTTAAATGTTTCTCCCAATTATTTGAAATAATAAGCTGAAGTACATTTTTTCCCAAAAGACGCATATTTCATGCAGTGAAATTTATGTCATTTTCCTCTGCTTGTATGCAAGGATACCGCACTCAGTTTCAAACATTCAATGTATAGCTTAAACTCTGTTTTGCAAATCCTGTGCTACAGATAATTAATTCTTTAGTGTATTAAAGGCCTAAAAACGCTATGCTTGACAGTCACTTGAGAGCCTTGGTGCACATCAATATGAAGATTTTAGTTGAATCTCAATAAACCCAGTTTGTCATGAATGAGATCAAAGGCCTCCTATAAGTTCTTCTTTTAATGTTGCTGCTTTAATGCTGAAGCAGGTTCAGTATTTTTCAAGCTTCCACAAATTACACTTAGCAAAGTACTTTTCGCGTGCGATAAGACACGTTTATAAAGTTACTCCCAATTAGAGCAAATTGTAAAAGAATCGTCACTTTTACAACACAATTTATCCTTCAACGACATGTATAATACTTTTTGAGTGTAAGTTAGGAAACTCTAAGAAAAAAAGTATACATATTTCACCTATATTTAACATGTAAATAGTGATAAATTAATGATGTATGTGAGTGTTATTCTTATAATAGCAAGGATTTAATTTCCCACTGACAAGGGCAGACATTGAAAAAAACCAAACAAACAAAAAAAACAAGGCGAGAATATTCCTGTTGAACATCACAGACGTCCAAACTCATCTCTGAAATAGCAGGACTTTCGTTAATTTAAGAGCATTAAATTTCAAGGAGCGGAAGAAGTTTGATGAAAACTTCCTGTCAAATTTGTGCACGCGCACAAAACCCAGTTTTCCTCTCTTAGTTTTTGTCAGTGTGATAAATGAAGGCCCAGTCTATCCTTATTCGACAGGTCAGTTTGAAAATAGTTTACAGCTACTATGAAGGTCTTAGCACATGATTTACATCATATTCATACTCAACAGCCATTCGGTGAGTCCTTGGTTATTCTCAGCCTAGAAGAGACTGATCTCATCATACTATTTCTTCACAGGATAAAACTGAATAGTTCGTGGAGACTTATATAGGATTCTTTCACACATGTGTAGGACATTTGTTGACTACATTTTCTACTTTTATGAAACAATGCTTCATTTTTAAGTCCATTTTTGGGCTTTGCAGGGTTTTATTTGGTGGTGTCAATAAACGACAGATGGGATTTTGGGTAGAAAGAGGGGGCATGAGATGAAGATAATGGCCTGGGGCTCCAGATGAACCCAGGCTACTGCAGTAAAATAATTTTTACTTGCAGTTTTCAGTCCTTGAATGGTTTTTTAGTGGTCCTATTGATAAAATCCAAAATACCTCACATCTGTATTTGTCAACAAATAAATCAGGCAGTGCTGTCTGTCTATATTTTTGGATATATTTTCCCATTTCTTTTCCATTTTACAGAGTTGGTACATTTTCATAAATAGTGGACTACAGTGAAATGTTTCTTTAAAACATATACAGAATGGCAGCCTTTGCGACATATTGATATGATAGTAAAATCTACATTTTCCTTAAACTTTAAATACCTACATGTACAGCATATATCACATGGAAAGTTCATTAGAGTATGAGCTGATAACTTGTGTTGATTTGTCTCGGCTGTCTGAGCGCACATCAGCATCGCGCCGGTCCCGGTTGCTTCTCCTTTGGTTGTTTAAGGCAAAGAGGGAATAATAAAGTGGGGTGCAAAGATAAAGTGGCGTGACTTCAACACAAGGACAAACACTCGTCTTTGTTTTCAGTGCGATTTCCATCACCGTTCTGCCTTGAACACACACCACTGGAGGTATGAGGCAGAGGACCCACTTAGGCTAAGGACAACAAGGCAGAGAAGAGCAGTGTAAGGAAAGTTGTTTCTAAGAAAATATGGGAAAGGTAAAAGAATCACAGTGGTTTTTTGTGTTTTTTCTTAAACTTTCAAATAGAAATGGTGGTGGAGGTGGGGGGGGGGGGGGGGGGGGGTTTCAGTGCAGAGGAGCACTGGCTTTACTGTGAGCCTCTACTGAATGAACAAGTTCACTGGAGGAAGCTCGTTTCCACAACTTGTATTCACAATCTCATTCTTTGATGTCCGTCTCCACTCAAAGCCTGTGACGATAGGTGACTGTAGGAGCATAGACCAACCAGTTGATCAACAGCTTTACTTTAACACTTAGCCCTCTCTTCACCACACTAGACTATCACATGTTTTGCATCACTGCTAATGCAGCATCAATCCATCTGGCAAGCTCGTGCGTCATGGCCTCAGACCAGTAGGTGCTCATTTTTTTCACACTCAGCTGTGACCTGCCCTAGTGCATGCTGCAGGTCAAGGCTCGAGGAAGCCATCAAAACCAGGTCATCTGTGATTTTCTATAAAAACCAAACCACCAAACCTGACACCCTCAGGTGGGTCTAGAAATTTTGATAATAAAATTATGAACAGAATCATTCACAAAGTTGCCAGAATCCACCGCCCACTGGGAACGAGCCCGATTGCAGTACACGGAACTAGAAAGCCCACCAACAGCCCCCTGATATCCCATAACCCCAAATCACCCGTCACAATCAAACGCCTTCTGTGGTTGAGCTTTATATTTCTAAAATATGGACTTAACTCGTGCATTTATCGTTTGTCTAATAGCTATAGCAGAACAGTTTTATTTTGTTCCGCTGTGTCTTTTTGTGCTGAAAAATGTACCAAATGGGGAACTTTTTGCCCTGATTTATCATAAACAACGCAATAGTCAACAAAAAGAAGAGAGAAATGTAAAAAAAGAAAAAGAAAACCAATATTGTGCTAAATACAAACCAGATCAGAAAGCATAAAAAGAGACATAAGTTGATGTCCGTTTGTTTTTTGTCTGCAGTCCACGGAGGAAAAGGTGCCTTTAAATTACATTGGATATAAGTTGGTTGTGTTCTCCATATGCAGTCCTTTAAGACTGCTGATCACAGTCAGTCCTCACACAGGGTCTGTTCTTGATTTAAAAGGTCCTTCAGAGTAGCACACGGCCACTGCTGCTACCCAATATATGTATATATATGATAAATATGTACACACACAAACAATCAAATGTGGATCATCATTTGGGTTATGTAGGAAAAAAAAGTCTTTTTTCCCTCCATGCATACATCTACTCATGGCTGCTCTCACTCGAGGGGATAAGCATGTGAACTCGGTCACCTCGGCTCTTTAATGCTTCGTCCTGTCCTGCTGGTCCTGCAGTCATGGATGTACCGGTAGACTCTGACAGAGCAAACGTTTTTCACACATTAGTCTCCAGCCCGTTCATGTCAATGGAACAGTGGTCCTTGTCCCTGTGTTCTCTCTTGTGGTGAGAGGCGTGAGCGTGCTTCTTCTTCTCTACAGGTCGAATCCCCTCCTCCAGCTGGATCAGGCGAGCCACGTCAGGGGAAAGGTGGTCCTGCTTGCTGCCCGGTGGAGGCGGCTGGTAGCAGCCGTTCTTCTGGTTCTGGTAGTTCATCATCTGCTGGATGCTTATCATGGGTTTGGTCTCACATATAAGAGGCACCTAATGGACATGAGAATGAACAAAAAGAAGTGTCAGAATCACTTAATAAACAGGCAACACCCACAAGAACTAAAAATAAACAGCAAATTAAAATTGTGAATGAACTGAGTTTTTATGCAACAGGAAAGGATTTTATGGTCTTATTGGCCTTATTCAGCTCCCCTCATCCCCACACTGTAAAAAAAAAAAATCTTAATATAAAAGTATTTTACTGTGTATTTTACAGTTTTGTACTGTTCTTCCAGAATATCATTAAATTCACATAAATAGACTGTGATTTTACATGTCAAATGTAAATTAACGTAAAATCACTGTAATGTAATAAAACATAATTTTCTTGTTTTTTAAATGTATTTGTCTGTACATGTGCATATTTAGATTGTTAAAATACTTTCACAAATGCATCATAATTTCACAAATATTTGTCCGTTATCTGAAAGATTGAACTGTTAAATTCAAATGTAATGCTATGGAAAAATATATAAAATGATTCGTATAAACTTTTTCTACATTAAATAATTATTATCATTATTGTTATTTAGGGCGATCGTGGCTCAAGAGTTGGCAGTTCGCCTTGTAATTAGAAGGTTGCCGGACGCTCTCGGTCGTTGTGTCCTTGGGCAAGGCACTTCACCTACTGGTGATGGTCAGAGGGGAATTATAAAGTGGAATTGTAAAGCGCTTTGAGGGTCTCATAAAGCGCCATATGAATGCAATCCATTGTTATTTAAACCAACTGCTAACTGTATATTTCTGTACATTTAAGTATTATTATTCATATTGCCACATTCATTGACCTTTTTTATAGGTAATTTCATTGTTTAATCACATTAAATTGTTCCTAATTTAATGTTTAAAAGCACTTGAAAAAGGCAAAATCCCATGTAAAATAGGGCAACAAAATGTATTATCATTACTGAAAATAAAGTTATTTTCTGGTATTTCCTGGTATTATTTTGGCGCCCCAGCTGCTGGAATATCACTGTTTTTTTAGAAAAATTTTTTTTACGGTGCACCTGGTCATGACAGATGACCGCCCCCTCTGACTCTGGTTCTGCCGGAGGTTTCTTCCTGCTAAGTCAAATTTATTCATTCTCACACAACAGCTGATATATCCTGGGCAGTTTAGGGTCCAGGATCTTGGAAGAGCCAGGGATTTAACCCTTTAAAATTATGAACAATGTACTCTTTATCTTGACCACAGATCCTAAAAGGTGCATACAGTATGTGCAAAAGTTTTGAGCCACCCCTCATTTCTTTTTATTTTGTTCTTCAGGCTTTTTGAAAGTCTTCTTTGACTGTTTTTTCACTCCTTTTCAATCCAGTCCTTATAGCTGACTATTTTCAATGGATGTCTTTTATTTATTAAGCTACTTAACACAGACTCATGTATCGTTTAAGTGTGGACTGGAATCCTGTGCATTCTGGTCCCTACAAATGAAAGATACTAACATCTTCATCTCCAGTGTTCCAGATCAGCCTACTGCGTTTTAGTTTTTTGTGCCAGCGTCTCCAAAGCATACATAATAGCAGGTCTTACTACCATATTGTAAACTTTCCCATTTATATTTGCTGCTGTGTGCAGGTGAGATTAGGAACTATAGAAAAAGAGGCATGCTCGTAGAATGACAAAGTAAAATGAGATATTTAAAGAAAGACATTAGCAAAGAAAGTTGGTTAGTCGGGGAGACGAAGTAGACAGGAGTACTGGGAGGCTGGCGTGTGGCAAACACAGATGGCAAATGCAAAGAAAAAGGCTTATAGGGATTTTTATGTGAGGCTGGACTAAGGAGAAAAGGACTTGTATCGATTGGCTAGATGGAGAGATTGTGCTGGAAAAGATGTGTTGCAGGTTAGGGTGATTAAGGACAGAGCTGGATATTTACTAATGAGTGAAAAGTGTGTTGAGAAGATGGAAGGAGTACATTGAGAAGGTGATAAATGAAGAAAATGAAAGATAGAGGAAGGCACATGGAGGACAGTTAGCGCAGAGGATTAGTACGGAGGAAGCAAGGGCAGCTATGAAGAGGATGAAGAGTGGGAGGGTGGGCAATAAACCCATCCATGACCCAGCGTTAGAGGTTCTTGTCCAATATTTTCTGGTACTGGCCCCTCACTGTGGTGTAGCCGTCTTATACTCTCAGCAGAAAAACAGCCGTAAAGCATAATGTTTCCACCTCTGTGCTTGACTGTGAAGATGGCGTTCTTTGGGTCATACTCAGCATTTCTTTTCCTCCAAACATGATTGGTGAGTTGATGCCAAAGAGCTCGGTTTTGGTTTGATCTGACCATTCAGATGTTCACTGGAAAATTAAAGACAGAAGTGTGCATGTGCCTTCTTGAGCAGCGGGACCTTGTGGCAGAGAGGTGCACAAGTCTTTGAGGGGCAAGTCTCAAGTGTATAATGGATGAAAGTGACGTTCTATTGTCAGATAAACACCAACTAGTCCCACTATAACAATTTGTTATGTGTTATATGTGCTGTGTTGATGCACCACAGCATTTAAAGTGATGAGAGCGTACTCACTCAAGAGGGCTGTTGCAGTTAAAAAGAATAGACACAAGTAAAGCAAAGTGAAAAACTGCTCAGTTGAAGTCGATAAATTTACACTTTAAACTTTATTGCTTGTTACAACCGGATGCAGGATGTTAACTAACCTAGTTTGTAGCTCAACTTTCTGATTCATAGGCATCTCTTCACCTCACTAAGTGACTGACTTATTACCGGTAACAGTCTTTGTCGCTTTGTTACTGCTATCTCTCCTCGAGTGTTGTTTGAAAAAAACACTTTAATATCTTTTGTCTGTGAAGGTTCTCAGTCATCCAGGTCATGGTGGTCTAAAGAGCTTGGAAAGAAAAGTGTCTGGACGTCTCTAATATCTTACTATATGTATGGACAACAAAGATTTAAGAAACATTTCATTTATTTTACTGTGCATTTACTGTACTATGCAACCTTTGGAAAGGGTTGTGTAAAAATCTTTATGACATTTAGAGTCCTCGCAGCCGATTAATTTAAAAACAAAAATTCACAAATTATTAGCATATTCAGAACATTTCCTTAACTAACAGAGAAAAATGCACCGTCTCATGAAACAATGTGCAATTCAGGGCTGTGGTCTGTCCCTTATTTACATCTTAATTTTACCCTTTTACATGGATAAAAAATGGTTTTCAAGACTTGAGTCCCAAACCTTGAGTCTAAGTCAAGTCTGAAGTGTTGCGAGTGCAAGTCGCCATCTCTGCCTTGTGGGCACTGCAAGACTGCACTCCATTAGCACCAATGGTGTTGCTGGTGACTGTGGTCCCAGCTGCCTTCAGATCATTAGTTCATTCATGTAGTTCTGTACTGATAAACCACCTTTCTCATGATCATCCACAACCCATCAGGCAAGAGCATGGAGCTCCAGACTCAGAGTGGTTGATGGACATTTTGTATTTCTTCAGTTTCTGAATAAATTGCACCAACATTGGACAAAGGATATTGAAAAGGATATTGATCAGTGTATTGAAGGAGGACAGGCAGAGGGCTGGTGTGACAAAACAAGATGCTAGGGACAGAGTGAGATGGATGCAAAAACACACAATAGCACACTATCAGTTATGGATTGGCCTCCCCTGAGGCCAGACCTCAACATTATTGAAGCAGCGTGGGATCATCCAGACAAAGAACCAAACAAAAGGCAGAAACATCCAAAGAAGAGTTTTGAATGTCCTCCAGGCCCAGAGAACTATTAGTGAAGACTACTTAAAGAAAGCTTGCCTAAGAGAGTTCAGGCTGTGCTGAAGATGAAAGGTGATCATACCAAATATTGACTCTTAAGCTCATTAGAAGTATAAAAACTCCGCCTTTTCTTCATATACTGTATTTTGATCTGTTTTTGTAAATGCTTTTTTTCCATTTTCCTACCAAGATAAAAAGGGGCAGCTCAAGATGTTTGCACAGTAATCTGTGAATAGCTAGTCATTACTGCATATACTCTCTGCTAGAGTTAATGCATTGACAGCTATGACAGAATTGGCTATAAGCATCAAATCTACTTTCTTGCTGCTTGTTTTGCTGCCCACCATTATCAGAATAATAATGTGCAGACTAATAATAATCCCCGGTTGGCTCCCTTTAGTGATGGCAGATACAGTAAGTACATTTTAGCCTATTATTATAGTAAAAGGCTGTGGTTATCTAACATGTTTTTATCCATTATAAATGATTTGTTCATAATGTTAATACACTGCTAATATATAAGCTGAGTCATATCTCTCTCTTGGCGCTCTTTTTACTAGAGCTGTGATTTACTTAGCCTTGATTATCGAACAGAATTTGAGGAAGTGGAAATTGGTGGCCAATCACAAATAAAAGTTGTGTTTTGTTTTTGTGGTTTTGCAGTTCCTATTCCTCTGCTTCCAATCTTTCTGCTAAGAAAAGCTATCCAGGGAGAATACTTAACCGCATGAGAATAATATCTAGTTTTTACTTTCATACTTTCATCAAGAAAGTAAATAAAGGGTAAATCTGTTGTACTCGTTTTGGAGTTTGGAGTGTACAGAAAAGGAAATATTGCCACATTCGGTTTTCTGTCTGTCTTTCAGAGGAAGACAAATGCTACTATAGTTAGGTCAGGAAGACCTTGAGAAAACAATGCGGGGATTGCTTGCAGCATCGAGGTCCGCTGATCTAACCTTAGATGTTCTCACCTGTTCTCCCTCTTTCACAAAATCCTTCCTGCAGATATGAGCCATGATTCCTGTGGCCAGAGCGTCGCCCATCACATTGACCATGGTCCTGAATCGATCCCTACACGACAAGGTCAAAAGTTATTCGCAGTGAAGACTGATGAAGACCGTGGTTTATACACCCTATAACAAGTTAGTGTGTATTCCTGATATTTTGCTGATTGTTGCTTTTTTCAACCTCTGTGCAAGAAGCTAAGAGTTACTGGTTTTTAGCTATGATGATTGCTGTTAGAGAAAAAAATGAACCTTTACTTACAAAGCCCAGTCGACAGCAATGATGAGAGTGATGTCATCAGTGGGCAAACCCACAGAGGTCAGCACGATCACCATGGTAACAAGACCAGCCTGTGGGATTCCAGCTGCACCGATGCTGGCGGCCGTGGCAGTGATGCTGAGAGAACAGAGAGAGAAAGTCGGGTACGTTTATCTTCAAAGGATATACAGGAACACGTCCTTATATATGACCTCCCTGAAATGAAGGTGCAGATCTGTTTGTGAGCACTGAAACCGCAGGGATGGAAAAATAAATCAAACATAGGGACCGTGGAGAACTATAATTCTGAATTACTTTAATACATACTGTACGTGCCATGCATAACTTTTTTGCTTCTTCTTCAGTGCAGAGTGCAATATAGCTCCAATTACTCATCCGTACTTGGCAGCAGCAGTTTCAGCAGATTGATATTTTGTCCACAAATACACACGATCAGCTTATAAGAAGGGCATGAACTAATCCAAAGCTGGTGTATGGTAAGATAATTTAAATACGCATCACTCCCCTTAAACAGTGTTTGCTCATTTTCTACTCTAGCATGACAGATGCTGAAAAGTGGCATGACATAAACATTTCTGTGAACACTGGGTCCTTGTTTTCAGAAGTAGAAAAAAATAGGCTCCAGTTTTCTAGCTTTTGATTTTTCTAAGCAACAGAAAAACTATCCCAGCACATTGCTAGACAGCATAACCACGCTCTTAGAAAACTGCCTCCACCTCCAGCTTTTCTTTTCTTTTTTTTGCTTCTAACTGACTCACTTTAAATTAGATCCCTAAAAAGGTTAATATTTTTTCTATTATTTGTAGCAGTCACGTTACATCCTCTGGGGTTTAGAAATGAAGCCAGAGGAGAAGTGTGAAAAGCAACAGTTACTAAATGGCCACTTGAGGCTGCCTCCAAAATGAGTCAGTTCACAAGGATATCCAAGGATATCCGTTAATGGATTTAGCTTGCTAACCAAACTAAGAAACATTAGTGTAGCCAGTAGCGGTTTTTGATATGGGCAACATGTGCGGTTGCCCAGGGCGGCATCTGCAAAAATTTTTGTGCTCATGCTGCCCCGACATCAGCCAGCACATTTTGGGAATGGCATAGGCACCGATCGGCTTTCTATCGCCCATTTGCTGGGAGTAAGGTCGCCCTCCCTTTGCAGGGTGCGCCTGCTGCTTGCAGTTGCAGCACAGGGAGGAGAGAGCGGGGGATTCACTGGCTGGCTGGAGCAGCATCTAATAACCAGCTCGCAAAATAAAACAAAATAAAAACAAAACAACAAACACGAAAACACCAGACATTATGATACAGACTTATAATTTGCAACAATGTTTTTTTGAAATTCTATTCAAAAAGTGAGCGCGAGAGCCCTCGGTGCGCCTGCTGCTGAAGTCAAAGTAAACCTTATTATCATCTCTGCTACATACAGTCCAGCATATAGAGAGACGAGGCTCCAGTTACAGCAGTGCAAGTAAACAAACACTAAATATAAGAAGAGTTAGAAAATTAGTAAACACTTTAGGACTCGGGGTAAAGGGATCAATAACAATTTAAAATTTACAGTTTCATGATTTAAAGTCTCACACACAACCTGTCGAAAGGGGAGGGGGCCGTGCTGCTTCCAAGTAGAGCACATTTCATTCATAATGTTGTAAATCCAAGCCCATTATGTATTCATGATTTGTTCCTGGGTTGTGCGAAATCCCAGAAAATAAACCCCAGACAAAGCGAATCTGTGAACTAAGGTGTAGGTCTATTAGGGAAATGTTGTGGTGATCCTCGGGCTGAGGATGGGTGTTCATACTGGAGTGCAAAATTAAAATGGAAGATGGACAAGAAAAGGTCAAAGCCATCAGGTGCTCAGTTTAGAAAAAAAGAGAAACGAAGAGGAGGAGAAACGAGCAAAAGATGCAGGTAAGCAGATGTGTCATTGGATAATGGCAGGTCATCCTGAAACAATCAGAATCAGAATACTTTATTAATCCCTAAGGAAATTATGTGGGTTACAGTTGCTCCAAGAAGAAATGGTAAAAATAGCAACGTTATGTTACAGATTTTACACACTTAAGAAATAGCACTAATATATACAGATCACTCAATTATAAAAATCAAGGATTAACAGAGGTGATTATAAATAAATATTAAGAAAATTGACAAGAATATTCCAGAGTAGAAAAGAGTGTGTGTAAAAAGGGTGTAACTATTGCAGTGTTTACAGTGCTTTATATGGAGCAGTTGTACAGGGAGATGTCCACGGGCAGGAATGATTTCCTGTGTCGTTCAGTGGTGCTTTTTGGTGATCTCAGTCTCTCACTGAATGCGCTTCTGTGACTAGCCAACACGTCATGGAGTGGGTGGGACTTATTATCCAACATTGTCTTTATCTTGGACAGCTTCTGCCTCTCAGACACCACCCTATCGAAGTCCAGCTCCGTCCCCACAACATTAATGAGCTTGTGGATCAGTTTATTTAGTCTGTTGGTGTCTGTGACCCTCAACCTGCTGCCCCAGCATGCAACAGCATAGAGGATAGCACTGACCACAACAGAGATGCAACAAGATAACATCAATTAGTAGGGATAGTGAAAAGGTCTGTTAGCCACTTGACTATGATTGCAAACAGCAGACACTGATGTAGTTTACTGAATCGTTTGGACTGTGTTCAGCACAATATTAATTAGTCATCTGTGTAGACAGCGAGGTTATTACAGTTAACCTAAACTAAATTAAAGCTAGATGTGAAAACATTTAAATTAACTAATGTGGCAAAGAGAAGACTCAGCTAAAAGCTTAACACTGATACGATTTTGTGATCTTAGAAAACAAAGCATAATAAGAATACAGGGATGTTTTAGTATTTTTGTAGTTTGTTAAATTTTAATACAACTTGTCTGATGAGGCATTGATGGACTTTGTTATTGAGACGCTAGATGTCGATAACACAGGTACATGTGTAGTAGTAGGTACATGTGTGACTCAGGTGCTTGAAAAAGTTCTGTGTTTTTATTGGAACATTTTGCGAAGTCCTACCTCTGACAAAGTAATTGAATACACTTAATTTAAAACTGAAACTAATAAGAAGTTAACAAAAACTATGTATGTTCAAACAATAGAAAACAAACTGAAACAATAATCGTGTTAAAGTTTTTACAGTATCTGAAGATCCCAAAGGAACGGCATCAGAATTTAAAACTTTTCTGGAAACCCATGTACGTGACTTCTTGTCACGATCACAAGCTTCTCTTTAAAGCCTGTATATGCTCCCAGTAAGAAAGTATCTAGTATCTAGTATCAGTTACTCTTTTTAAACTATACGCAGAGAGCATCTTTCCTACCACCCATTTTTTTCAGCTCACAGAGAAACAAGCTTAGCAGCGTCTCATCTGCAGTTTGTACCTATGAAAAATAGCACAATCTGTCTCTACTGCAACCATTTAAATGCTGCTGCACTGCTAATCCAACAAAATGATATATTATATAACAATCTTAATTGTAGAACTACATATTTTAGTTATGTAAAGTTTCAGATGCCTTGTCCACTACTGTGGAGAAAGAATTAAAATATTTTGGGACAGTGACGGTTTTGAGCTTCTGGACTTTTGAGTGCAATTTGACAGCTTTCTCCTGGAAAGAACAAGAGGTTGGGGTTCAGGTTGGGCTAGCATGCAGATGGAGCAGCTACGTGGTCAGTAGCCAAACCGCGCGAACAGGATGCAGAGGGGGAAAAAATATTATAATTCTCCGTGACAAGGGAGCTGAGTAATACAGGTCATATGGGTTTTACTGCCAAGGGATTATGAGGGAGTGTGCACAGACTGCAGCCATGAAGAGGTCTGCTCTTAACATTATTACAGTAGGACATCGATTCAGAGGAGGGACAGGACGTTTCCCTTAGCCCGAGCCTGGAGGGGTTGGTGGTGGTTTGCTTACTTTTGACTGAATATTACAGAGCTGTGGTGTTGGTAGGATGAGGCCTGTCAATATTTTTTCTGTCTGTCTGTTTTCCCCCAGGGCTTCCAGACTGATTTAGCAGAAATCAGATCAGACTAAGAAGCTCACATGAGGCGTAATCTTTGTGACATTTACATATATGTGTATCTAGTAAATCCCACAATATTTTTATTAATTCAGAATTAAACTGAACGTGTGACATTATTATTCACGTTGCAGACAGAGCACCAAAAACATGCCTGCTGTTCATTTTTAACCCATATAAATTTCTCCCCGACTGCTGAGATATAAATATCTCGTTGTTGAATGTAACATATTTTTAAAATTCCGTTTTATTAAGAGAAATTAAGAGAGATTCAACTTCTTACCATGACTTTGAATTATACTAAGACAAGAAATAAAGTAAGTGGTTCTGTAATAGCTCTATAATTCCTCCCAATCAGTGCCAGGCTCCCAGTTACAGAGTTAATTCTCAGGCATTAAGTGGCAACTCTATAATTTAACAATAAAATAATATAATTTCTCTGAGATTTCTTTTAAATACGACTTAAATTAAATCTGAGTAAATCAGTGTTTAATGAAGTTTTTGTAGTGGTGGATTTTAGTACCTTTTAACAGACATCTGCACACCAGCTGACAGAAAGAAGATAAATTATCTGCGTTTAATGAAAACACCTTTTTTCTTAGCAAGTACTACAAATCTGGGGGTGAGCCTGACAAGATTTCCAAATGAATTTGAATTTTACCACTGTGACTTCATGAAGGTTCAATTTTGATTAAAGGATCTGTAGTTTGAACTATCCTGACCTTTAGTCCTAGGCAGAGAGCAGATCCCCAAGGAAGGAATTCTACACTCAAAAAATTATTTAAGTCCAAAACGCTGGATTACACATAAAGTTTGTGTAATTTTGTAAGATAAATACAATATAAAATGTTACATTTAATGGAATCATGTCAAAATGTACTTGTCACCTTTTTTCCTTAATGATTGAATATTTTAATAAATAAACCTCTGATTTTATATATTTCATTTGTGTTTTACCTACAACTTTTTGCTTCGTGTTTATGAGCGGAAACAATAATTTTGGAGTGTGCATATAGGCAAATGTGTTTAAACTCTACGTTGTTGTCCACAACCACTATCCGCTACACAAACCATTACACAACCACTATCTTACTAAACATTTTAGAAAATGTTTCCAGATGGACAGGAGCCACTGTGTAATTATTTTAACAGAATGCATTCATTAAATTCATAACATTAAGTTAAGATGGCGCCGGTGAGGTCGGCTGCCGTCACGACTGCTCCGACCACTTTTTCTTTGTCTTTGTTTTTTAAGTTAGTTTTCAGCGTTTCTAAATCGGCAAAATCATCACCATTGGGTACATTAGGTATGACAGTGACACTCTTGTTTCTATTGGTATACAATGTACTCACAATTCGAAGTTTTTAACTCCGGATCCGAGCTGGCCGAGTGAGATCTCGAGGGAGAACAAAGGGAAGCGGCGGCGGCCTAGAGGGAAGCGAGCCGGCGTCAGGAACAGGCTGAGAGCTCGTGCACACCGCACACCTCTGCCTAGCATCCTGCTCGCCAACGTCCAGTCACTGGAGAACAAGCTTGACGACCTCAGGGCCAGGATAAAGTTCCAGAGAGACATTCGGGACTGCAATCTCCTCTGCTTCACCGAGACATGGCTGAACCCAGCGGTGCCGGACCACGCCATCCAGCCGGCCGACTTCTTCTCGGTTCACCGCATGGACAGGACACGGGACTCGGGGAAGTCAAGGGGAGGCGGCGTGTGTTTAATGGTGAACAACAACTGGTGCAACAGTGCGAACGTTGTTCCTCTCACACGCTCCTGCACACCAAATCTGGAACTACTGTCCATCATGTGTCGTCCTTTTTATCTACCTCAGGAATTTACATCGGTCATTGTAAGTGCCGTTTATATTCCACCACAAGCGGACACAGTCACCGCCTTATGCGAGCTGCATGAGGCACTCACACAGCACCAGACACAACACCGGGACGCTGCGCTTATTGTGACGGGGGACTTTAATAGCGCCAACCTCAAACGCGCAGCGCCGAACTTTTATCAACACATCACCTGCCCCACCAGGGGTGAAAGGACACTGGACCACTGCTACACTACGGTCGAGGACGGCTACAAGGCACAATCCCGCCCCCCGTTTGGCAAATCTGATCACGCCGCCATCTTCCTCATGCCAAAATACAAACAAAGGCTGAAACAGGAAGTTCCGGTTCAGAGGAAGGTCGCGCGCTGGACGGATCAATCGGTGGCCGCGTTACAGGACGCACTCGATGACGCAGACTGGGGCATGTTCAGAAACAGCTCCGATGATGACGTCAACGTGTTTACGGAAGCGGTTGTGGGATTCATCGGGAAACTAGCGGATGATACCGTGGAGACAAAGACTATCACAACGTTTCCCAACCAGAAGCCGTGGGTGGATAAAACCATCCGCAACGCTCTGAGATCCCGCACCGCTGCCTACAACACGGGACTCATGACGGGGGACATAGACCCGTACAAAGCCGCGTCATATAACGTGTGGAGGGCGGTGAAAGAGGCGAAGCAGCGCTACGGGAGGAAACTAGAGTCACAACTCCAACAGAGTGACTCTAGGAGCCTGTGGCGGGGACTAAGGACAATAACGGACTATAAAGCACCAACAACCGGTATGACGAACGCGGCCGTGACTTTGGCAGACGAGCTGAACACTTTCTATGCTCGCTTCGAGGCTGCAGCTAAGGTCTCCAACAATGCTAGTGTTAGCGGCGCTAACGGCTGCAGACAGGAAGATACTGCCAGCACCGGAAACGTGCTCGTCATCTCCGAGCATGAAGTAAGGAGAGCCTTCAAAAGAGTGAACACCAGGAAAGCAGCAGGACCAGACGGCATCCCAGGTCGTATCCTAAGAGACTGCGCATACCAGCTAGCTCCTGTGTTCACTGAGATATTCAACATCTCTTTATCTCAGTCGGTGATCCCCACATGCTTCAAAGAGTCCATCATTGTTCCTGTCCCGAAGAAACCCCACCCTGCTTCTCTCAATGACTATCGCCCTGTAGCCCTCACCTCAGTAGTGATGAAGTGCTTTGAATGCCTGGTCAGAGACTTCATCATTTCTTCACTACCAGACACACTGGACCCACTACAGTTCGCTTACCGTCCAAATCGTTCCACAGACGATGCCATCTCTCATCTCCTCCACACATCACTCACTCACTTGGACACTAGAAGGGGGAATTATGTTAAAATGCTCTTCATAGACTACAGCTCTGCATTTAACACCATAATTCCCTCCACACTCACCACCAAGCTGGAGCATCTGGGACTCAGCTCATCTATGTGTCAGTGGATCTCCAACTTCCTAACTGGCAGACCACAGGCAGTAAGGATGGGCGGACATGTCTCAGCCTCCACCACTCTCAGCACTGGAGCCCCCCAGGGGTGTGTTCTGAGCCCCCTGCTGTACTCTTTGTACACATATGACTGTGTGGCCACTACCAGCTCCACCACCATCATCAAGTTTGCTGACGACACCGTCGTGGTGGGCCTGATCTCTGATAACAACGAGACGGCCTACCTGAAGGAGATTAGGAATCTGGAGAACTGGTGCCAGAGGAACAATCTCCTTCTAAACGTCAGTAAGACAAAGGAGCTGATAGTGGACTTCAGCACTAAGCAGGAGAGGAACTACCAGACCCCCGTCATCAACGAGTGCCCAGTGGAGAGAGTGGACAGCTTCAAATACCTCGGAGTTCACATCACGCAGGACCTGTCATGGTCCTGTCACATCAACACCGTGGTGAAAAAGGCCCGTCAGCGTCTCTACCACCTCAGACGCTTGAGAGACTTCCAACTGCCCTCCAAGGTGCTCAGGAACTTTTACTCGTGCACCATAGAGAGCATCCTGGCGGGAAACATCTTAACCTGGTTCGGGAACAGCACCATGCAGGACAGACGAGCTCTAGAGAGGGTTGTGCGGTCAGCTGAGCGCACCATCCGCTCCGAGCTCCCTGACCTGCACTCAGTCTACAGCAGGCGGTGCTGGACCAAGGCCAGGAAGATCGTGAAGGACCTCAGCCATCCCAACAACAGACTGTTCTCTCTGTTGAGGTCAGGAAAGCGATTCCGCTCCCTGAAGACCAACACAGAGAGACTGAGGAGGAGCTTCTTCCCGCAGGCGATACGGTCTCTCAATCACACCACCACACAGTACTGACCCACACATATGGTTCTTACACACACACACTGGACTTTCTGGACTTTGTTTTTGCACAACACTGGTCACTATATTCTTCATTTCCGTTAATACTTGTACAGCTGCTGTTATTGTGTATATATTTATTTATATTTAGATTTCTTCATACATTCTTATATAGTTCTATATTGTGTATTTTGTTGTACAGTTATTTTATTTTCAACTTTAATTTATATATTTTATCTTATTCTTCCCAGTTAAATTTACCCTTCATTCTAATTTGTGTTGTACAGTTATTTCATTTTTAACCTTAATTTATATTTTATTCCTTCCTAGTTAAATTTACCCTTTTTAATTTTTCATATTTATTTCCTTTCTTATTCATAGCCTTTCCTTTTTTGTTTTCTTTAGGTCACGAGCAGTTGTCCAAGCATTTCACTACATATCGTACTGTGTATGACTGTGTACGTGACAAATAAAATTTGAATTTGAATTTGATGTGTAAAATGCAATCTCTTCTTTTATTCCAATACATTTATTTAAGCCATGCAAGAAAGTGAGCGAAATTATAGAAGCAGCTGTTAGAAAATGGTTTAGTATGTTAGTATCAATCCAATACCAAGTAAATACAGGGCCAGGATTGCAGATACCAGGTACCAGTATTTTTAACCTATAAGAGCATGTAGTGGAGAGCAGTGTGTCGTGATTTAAGAAGTGAATAGTCACACCTTTCAGCTTCTTCTACTTTTTGGAGAACTGAAATGTAAGTGTGCCTGTCTCTAAAGCACTTTGGGTCAGCTTCTGTTGTTTAAAATGTTTAATTTCCCCCCAAAACGCTTTATTTAACACAACTCAGTGAGCTACATACTGAACGAAATATCGATCCTATTGCACCAGTATCAATCCGATACCAATACCAGCGTTGGTATCAGTACTATCGATGTTTGGATTGATCCACCAACTTCAACTGTGCACATTTACTTGCTTACATCCCATTATGAGTTAGATTTTTTGACTTGTGATGCCCCTTACCTGATGGTGATGATTTGCCCAAAGTCCAGTTCGTAATTGTTCACTTGGGCGATGAAGATGGCTGCCACGGCCTCATAGAGCGCCGTACCATCCATGTTGATGGTGGCCCCGACCGGCAGCACGAAGCGGATGATGCGTCTGTCGATATGGTTGTTCTCAAGGAGGCACTTGAAGGTGATAGGCAGAGTAGCAGAGCTGCAGGAGGGAAAGAAAAGTAGGCAGTGTAATCAGTTGTGTTTTAGCAGGAAATGTCTCTTGGGTTCAAGCCACTGACAAAACAAACAATAAAAGCATGAATAAAGCAAGTAGCTCCTATTTTTCTGTGTAAAGTGGGAACCTGTAAGCAAGGAAATAATACAAGTATGCTGGATGAAGATTTAGGTTTTTAGATGTATTTCTTTCTTTCTTTCTTTTTTTTTTTTTTTTTTTTTTTTTTTTTTTTCTTTCTTTCTTCTTTCTTTCTTTCTTTCTTTCTTTCATTTAGCCACAAACCAACAAATGATAAACTGAACAAATCAAGCGATCAATTAACTGGAAAATAACATCCTTATTCCTTCCTGGAAGATCCGACTGACCTCGGAGATAGTGAGAGGGTCGTCTGTTCTCCTTTAGAGACAATATAAAATCTTTCTTTCCTAGTGCACTACTAAGAGAAAAATTATTTTTAGTGTACTGGACTTCATTTCTTGCTTTCTTTTTGTTTTCTCCTGCAGGCAGCAAACATTTACAGTCCTTAGAGTTTCTCAGAACACCACCAGAGCTGTAGCTGAAAGAATACAGGTAAACTTCACAACTGAGAAACACAGTGCTGCTGCTGCTTTTAGACTGGTTTATATATTATCAAACTCCTTGTAGGTGTTTGGGATTCTGGCTTACTCTTTTTTCTGTTTGGTCATACTTTGCAAACACTGCTCGCGATTCAATAAACCTCTGTCGACTTAATGAGTTTATAACCCCTGATGTGACACTGCTCAGCGTGACTGTTATTGTTAGTTTTAGTGAGGACAAGTAACAAAAAGATTTCCTGGCTATTCTGAACACATGTTTGTGGCATTGACCGTGGACTTAAATGCAGTAAACACACTAAAAGGCTGCGAGTTGCAGCGTGGTTGGAAAGAAATATATCAGTAAACACAGTGTAAAAGACAGCCCTGAGGTGGAGTATGATGTTAGGGTTACAGAAAAAAAAATCACCAACAAACATCCATTTAATTTCCTCTATTTTCGTTCCTAATAGAGCATAAAAGCAATTTTTCTTTGGCCTTGGCCCTCTCTTTGTGTTGATATTTCTGCTGGACCATAAATGGAGGCTTATACAGATTATAAGGTGGTCATCATTGTTTTCTTTTCTTCTGGGAAACATCCTAATGGCATGGAAAAATGTAATATATGAACATTTACCAGTTATTTTTTTTCTTTCTTTTTCTTTGAGACCCTTTGAGGTTATTTTGCATATACACTCAACAAAAATATAAACGCAACACCTTTGTTACTGCTCCCATTCCCCATGGGATGGACGTAGAGACCTAAAATTCATTCCAGATACACAATATAACCATCCCTCCCAAACAGTGGTCACAAATCAGTCCAAATGTGTGGTAGTGGGCACATCTGCTATATTGAGATAATCCATCCCACCTCACAGGTGTGCCACATCAGGATGCTGATCTGACATCATGAGTAGTGCACAGGTGTACCTCAGACTGCCCACAACAAAAGGCCACCCTGGAATGTGCAGTTTTGTCTCACAGCAAAATGCCACAGATGCCACAAGCAATGAGGGAGCGTGCAATTGGCATGCTGACAGCAGGAATGTCAACCAGATCTGTCGCCCGTGCATTGAATGTTCATTTCTCAACCATAAGCCGTCTCCACAGGCGTTTCAGAGAACATGGCAGCACATCCAACCGGCCTCACAACCGCAGACCTCGTGTAACCACACCAGCCCAGGACCTCCACATCCAGCAGGTTCACCTCCAAGATCGTCTGAGACCAGCCACCCAGACAGCTGCTGGAACAATTGGTTTGCACAACCAAACAATTTCTGCACAAACTGTCAGAAACCGTCTCAGGGACGCTCAACTGCATGCCCGTCGTCCTCATCGGGGTCTTGACCTGACTCCAGCTCGTCGCCGTAACAGACTTGTGTGGGCAAATGCTCACATTTGATGGCGTCTGGCACGTTGGAGAGGTGTGCGCTTCACGGATGAATCATGGTTCACATTGTTCAAGGCAGATGGCAGCTGAGAATGTCCCAGTTCTTGCATGGCCAGCATACTCACCGGACATGTCACCCATTGAGCATGTTCGGGATGTGCTTGACCGGCGTATACGACAGCGTGTACCAGTTCCCACGAATATCCAACAACCTCGCACAGCCATTGAAGTGGAGTGGACCAACATTCCACAGGCCACAATTGACAATCTGATAGACTCCATGCGACGATGTGTTGCACTGCATGAGGCAAATGGTGGTCACACCAGATACTGACCGGTTCTGGGTCCCCAGACCCCCAATAGCGCAAAAAACTGCACATTCCAGGGTGGCCTTTTGTTGTGGGCAGTCTGAGGTACACCTGTGCACTACTCATGATGTCAGATCAGCATCCTGATGTGGCACACCTGTGAGGTGGGATGGATTATCTCAATATGGCAGATGTGCCCACTACCACACATTTGGACTGATTTGTGACCACTGTTTGGGAGGGATGGTTATATTGTGTATCTGGAATGAATTTTAGGTCTCTACGTCCATCCCATGGGGAATGAGAGCAGTAACAAAGGTGTTGCGTTTATATTTTTGTTGAGTGTATGTACCACAAGAAAATGCTACGAAAAAAGCCAGCTGAGTTTATATGGGACATAAAGCCTAACACTCCCCCACATGGTAAATGGCCTGTATTTGTATAGCGCTTTACTTGGTCCTAAGGACCCCAAAGCACTTTACACTATACACAGTCATCCACCCATTCACACACTGGTGATGGCAAGCTACATTGTAGCCACAGCCACCCTGGGGCGCACTGACAGAGGCGAGGCTGCCGGACACTGGCGCCACCAGGCCCTGTGACCACCACCAGTAGGCAACGGGTGAAGTGTCTTGCCAAAGGACACAACGACCGAGACTGTTGGAGCCAGGGCTCGAACTGGCAACCTTCCGATTACAGGACAAACTCTTGAGCCATGATCGCCCCCACATCAAAATTCTGACACAGCTCAGCCACATTAGCTCCACAGTGTGTTAAAATTACAGGATTTTTATTGTAGTGGGGCATTCACATCAAAGAAAAATGTAACTGACTAAATGTAGTAGGTACATGTGTGAAAGAAGTCCTGATGATTCATTTACAGGCACAGTTTTTAAATAAAGTCTGTGTGCATTTGTCTGCGCATCAAGCTTTATAATAATAATAACAATAATTTAGGACCTCTAGATCTGCAAAGTCATATGCTTTACCTGGAGGAAGTGGCCAAGGAGATGAGAAGGGCTTGTAGAATGCCTCTTATGTAAACTATGGGGCTTTTCTTGGTGATGAAGAAGTACATGGCCGGGAGGATGAACAGTCCGTGCAGCACCAAGCCCATTACCACAGTGATGGCATAAAAGCCCAACTTCTTCCCCATGGCCGAAGGGTCGTCCATCTCTAAGATCTTTCCAGCCACCAGAAACACAATACCAAAGGGGAAATACCTGCAGAAAGGAGGAGGGAAGGACTGCTGAACACAGTGATACTAATATTAGCATGTTGACATATTTAATCCAAACAATTTTAATATGCTGGTGGTTACTAGTTTCAAGGACCTATGATCTTAATATAATGTGTAGGATGCTAACATTTGCAAGTAGTGGACAGATAAAAGGCTGCCAATAAATGACCAGTCTAGCATCGTTACAATAAACCTTCACTAGATGAAGGCTTTAAAGTGGGGCATGTCTGTTTCACCTTTTTTTTGTAATCCATCCAATTGTTGTTGAGACATTTACCTAAATACGAAAAAGTCTGATCTAACTAATATCAGAATATTTCAAATTTAACATGCCGGAGAGTGAATGGCAAACAGTGCTGGTTTTTTATCAGTGTTAGTTATAGTTGATCAGTAAAACTTCACAAATGTTGTTACTTTTCTTGTGTTAGGGGTTTCTTGTAAAATACTGCTCTTACCAAATGACAATGGCAACAATCTTCAAAACCGCCTCATTCAAACTCTGACAAAAGTTGACCAAAGCACTTCCGTTGGGTCCCATTCTTCCCAGCATTATTCCTGAACGGGAAAAGGAAAAGAAAAATATGCAAGCATGCAACTGCAGGGATGTTTTCAACAGTATTAAGTGATAAGAATGGAAACATTTGTTTGTTCCCTGCACAGCACAGAATGAATGAAGATGTTGAACCAATGGTGGGTGGAAACCAAAATCATCGGCCCTTTGAGGCCTCACTTAAGTTTGCTTTTTTGAGATATATATTTATGCATGTGCATTGTGGATGTTAGTGCGTGTGGGATTCATGTCAAACACCCACCATGGTTGCAGAGAATATAACGATCCCCAGTACATTCATGCCTTCGCTGGTGCCGGGAGATGTTTTCACGATGACGTCAGGAGGTGGCGTTAGATCCAGAGAGAAGTTCTGGGTGTCGGTGCCATTGTCATCCTGGATGCCATAAATGTAGACCCTCCGCGTGGTTGTCTCATCCAGGAGCTGAGCGACTGTCGGTTTGGGGATGAGTTCTGCGACTCTCTGAGTTCGATACTTGAAACCAAAACAGAGCACAGTGAACGTGACATACCAGACTCTTACATGATAATGAAACACGCTCATTCGTGTTTGCATTCTCGCACGGCAACAGATTAATTTTATTCTTTTTGCAAATGCGTTGAAATAAATGGACAATAGAAGATAATATAAAGAGGCATTGCAGTTTAGATTAAAGATTAGGGGGTAACAGAAATCTATGCTTTCAGTATTTGAGCTTACCTGTTGAAACGTAGCTTGGACCAAGTTGGCTGGAAACATGTTGCTATAAAAGAAAATTTAGGGAATTTGTTAATATCTTTCAGTGAAAAGCAGACACATTGTAATGGATCCAAAGTAAAATGTAGGTTAACAATCCCAGAAATGTAATCAATGCAGAGAAATAGAACAGTTATAACTTTGCTTTAACAAAAGCTATTTCTGTGTATCTCCTCTTTTTTATATTGGCTTTGATATTACGGGTGTATAGGAATTTCTTTTACTTATGTATTATTCACATTATTTTATTGTATAATGCCTTGGTGCCACTGGATTTTAACAAGTCTCACACTCATACATTAAGACAAATGGTGGGGGTCTAGTAAGGAAGCTGGGGGGAAGCACAGGAAGAAACTTTTGTCTCTCTGAGGACTCTGGGAGGTAGCAAGGGAGTGTGAACCTTAAGGTGTGAAACAGCTGTGTACTGCCTTTTGTTCCTGGAGAAGGTATTTAACTGAGAGCCATGCTAGGCTCAGGGAGACTCTGCTGACCTGCCCCGCAGTCATGTAGGCTCTCCACAAGCTTGGTTTTCTGTTCTTTGTGTGTTTGGATTAAAGAATGTTAGCTACCGCTCACCGCTCGTCTGCAGGCTTTATTTAAATGGAAAACTTCCACAACATGGGGTAAATCTTTCCTGTACATCTCCTCCCTGTGAAATTGGAATTGATTAAATCAGAAATTCAAAGAAGGACGACAGCTTCTTTATGGATTCTGCATCATTACTACTGTGCAAGAAGTCTTACTCTAATAAAATTACACTGAAAATTTGCTTTGTTGGTAAATAGACTTTTCTGCATCAGTCCTATCAGTCCTGACAAATGAAAATCTCCACATCTCATATCTCTGAAGAAAAGAATATTGAGTTCTTCAGTTCTTGAGCTGCCACAGAGTGGACTCAGGTGCACGGACAGGTGAAATCTGAAGACAGAGGAGCAGGAAGAATGGGGACAGTAGAAAATAGAGAACAATCTCTTTCTGGAGAGGAAAACAGATGCCCACCATCCATCTAGGTGAAATGAAACCGTTTAAACCGTGTCTGCCGTCTATCGTGATGGAAATGTGCGATCGTTGGCAATTAAAATCGACGAGCTCTCAGCACTGGTACAGAGTCAGAGGGAATACCGAGAGTGTAGCCTGATGTGTTTCACCGAATCATGGCTGCACCAGGACATTCCCGATGAGAATGCTTCGGTGGAAGGCTTCCACACTGTTCGAGCGGACAGGGACAGCATCGCTAGCGGTAAGCGTAAAGGAGGTGGGCTTGCTGTTTTAGTTAACAACCGGTGGTGTAACCCTGCCAACATAACAATCAAAGAAAGGACTTGTTGCCCGGACACTGAACTGTGTGCTGTTGGACTCAGGCCGTATTATTTACCCAGGGAATTCTCTCACGTCATCTTGGTGGCTGTCTATGTTCCCCCTCTGCTAACCCCACAGCTGCATGTGACACTATCCACTCTGCCATAGCTCGGCTACAGACTCAGCACCCGAGTGCCTTTATTGTGATCTCGGGTGACTTCAACCATGTATCACTGGATAATACACTACCAACATTCAAACAATATGTGGACTGTCCCACCAGGGGAGAGAAAACTTTAGACTTACTGTATGCTAACGTCAAGGATGCATACAGCTCCTCCTCCCTCCCCCACTTGGTAGGTCAGATCATAACCTGATTCACCTCACCCCCCGCTATGTGCCAATTGTGAGGAGGGAACCTGTGACCACCAGGACTGTTAGGAGGTGGTCAGAGGAGGCAATAGCGGAACTACAGGGCTGTTTCGAGGTGACCGACTGGGAAACACTCTGTGAGCCTCACGCCGAGGACATCAATGGGCTTACTGAGTGTATCACAGGCTACATAACTTCTGCACCGACTCCATTGTTCCAGCTCAGACTGTTCATTGTTACCCAAATAACAAGCCGTGGGTGACTAAGGACATCAAAGCCCTCCTCAACAACAAGAAGAGGCTTTCAGAGGGGGCAACAAAGAGGAGGTGAGGAAGATCCAGGTGTTACTAAAGGACAAGATCAGAGAGGCTAAGGACAATTACAGGAGGAAGCTGGAGTGGAAACTCCAGCAGAACAGCATGAGAGAGGTGTGGAGGGGCATGAAGACCATCACTGGATTCAGGCCAACCAACAGCAGGGGAGCTGAGGGAGGTGAGAATAGAGCCGACGAGTTGAATCTGTTTTTCAATAGATTCAACACCACAGTGTCTGCTCCCACCCCCACAACCTCACCTGCAGTCAGCCTGGAATCCAGAGCCACACCACTGTGCCAGCCTCTCTCTTCACATGTTGCCTCCTGTGAGATTCCTGACACCCCTCCCCCACCCATCACCTTCACTCAATACCAGGTTGAGATGCAAATGAGGAGACTTCACTCAGGCAAGTCTGCTGGACCAGACGGAGTGAGTCCCCTTGTCCTCAAGACCTGTGCCCCCAGCTGTGTGGAGTCTTTCATAAACTGTTTATGCTGAGTCTGAGTCTGCAGAGGGTCCCGGTGATGTGGAAGACATCATGCCTCGTCCCTGTACCAAAGACGCCTCGTCCCAGTGGCCCCCAGGATTACAGGCCCGTGGCACTGACCTCCCACATCATGAAGACCCTGGAAAGGCTCATCCTGGACCAGCTGCGACCCATAGTAAGACCACATCTGGATCCCCTTCAGTTCGCTTATCAGCCTCGTCTCGGAACAGAGGACGCCATCATCTACCTGCTCAATCGTGTCTACACCCATCTGGACCAGCCGGCGAGCACTGTGAGGGTCATGTTTTTTGACTTTTCCAGTGCTTTCAACACCATCAGGCCGACCCTCCTGGGTGATAAGTTAGCAGCGATGCAGGTGGATGCTTCTCTGGTGTCCTGGATTGTTGATTACCTGACAGGAAGACCACAATATGTACGTCTCCCACAGTGTGTGTCTGACAAGGTGATTAGCAACACAGGGGCACCACAGGGGACTGTCCTCTCCCCCTTCCTCTTCACCCTCTACACCACAGACTTCAGCCACTGCACAGAGACCTGCCATCTTCAGAAGTTTTCTGATGACTCTGCGGTGGTTGGATGCATCAGCAGGGATGATGAGACAGAGTACCGGGCTGTGGTCGACTCCTTTGTCACGTGGTGTGAGCAGAATCATCTGCAGCTCAACGTGGCAAAGACCAAGGAACTGATCGTGGACTTCAGGAAGACCAGGAAACACTTGACCCTGTTTCAATCCAGGGGGTCAGTGTTGACATTGTGGAGGACTATAAATACCTTGGAGTACACATTGACAATAAACTGGACTGGGCTAAAAACACCACAGCACTTTACAGGAAGGGCCAGAGTCGTCTCTATTTTTTGAGGCGACTGAGGTCCTTCAACATCTGCCAGAAAATGCTGAGGATTTTCTATGAGTCTGTGGTGGCCAGTGCGATCCTCTATGCTGTTGCATGCTGGGGAGCAGGCTGAGGGTCGCAGATGCCAACAGACTTAATAAACTGATCCGTAAGGCCAGCAATGTTGTGGGGATGGAGGTGGACTCCCTCAAGGTGGTGTCGGAGAGGCGGATGCTGTCCAAGATAAAGACAATGTTGGATAACACCTCCCACCCACTCCATGACATGTTGGTCAGTCACAGGAGCTCGTTCAGTGAGAGACTGAGATTACCGAAAAGCACCACTGAACGACACAGGAAATCATTCCTGCCTGTGGCCATCTCCCTGTACAACGCATCCACTTAACACACTGTTTGCTGCTACAACTACACATGTTTCTTTTCCAAATATTTATTTATAAGTGACTTATGTATGTATGTATATATATATGTATATATTGTACTATTCTTAGTTAGCGTATTGTCTGTCTTGTCTTAATGTTGGTTTAAAATGGAGCACTGTAACAAAAAATAATTTCCCCCAGGGATCAATAAAGTATTCTGATTCTGATTCTGATTCTGATGAAAGGTTGTCCGACAAACTCATTCAAAGGATCAAAGATAAAATGAGATACGTTGGTTAATGACTATATATTTCCAGGATGAGTTATTGATAGAGCATCATAAACTCTAAGTATGACTAATATGACTAGTCCTCTCTCTGTTTTGTCATGTAATAAATAGCAAATGAGTCACTGTATCCTTACACAGTGTAAGCTGGGATGTGGATTGGCCCCACGTTCATGCAGACCACAGATTAATATAAAGTAAGTGAGCAGACCTGCATCGTGATCACTGTAATTTAATTGTCAAAGTTTGGTGTTTTTTAAATAAGTTTTTTCTGTAATTCAGTTTCGACCACTGATTTAAGAGCTGAGACAGCACAGCGACAGGTGTCTAGTAGCACTATATCCTGACAGAAGAGGAGGGTCAGGTATTTAAAAGGTATTCTTTTTTATTTAAATAGAAGTTATATAAAAAGCTAAATATGCTTTAGTTTATGAATTATCTGTAACAAAAAATTAAGTAATGAGCAGATGATTTTTATTAAAGTTGGACAAAGACTACGGTGCAAAAGATGGTCCTGTTAAAAGGAAGTTTTTCCGGTTAAAAGGAAGTTTTTCTTTCCCGCTGTCCCCACAGTGCTTGCTCATAGGGGGGGTCATACAGTTGTTGGGATTTTCTTTGTTTTCTTTGTATTATTGTAGGGTCTTTACCTTACAATATAAAGCGCCTTGAGGCAACTATTCTTGTGATCTGGCACTGTATAAATAAAACTGAATTGAACTGAACTGAATAGTTTACATGCCTAAATGCATGGAATTTCTGCCATTTAATATGCTGATTATATATTTATGTTAAGATGCAGTTGAACAGGTTTACCTAAAATGTGACCAAGCCACTGAGCCACAGTGTCTTTAGGACAGAAGACAAAGTCAGGTTCCTCACAGCACATCATTGCTGTTCCACGATATGTAGGAAGGAAATCCCAGATACTACACAAACATGACTAATAACTTATAAAGTATTTGTTTTTTAAGTCAAGAGCTGCTGGGATCACTAAATGCACAATGAATGACGAGTGAGTGGTCTAATAAATACAAAAGAGTTATGAGGTGCCCTTTGTTTACGTGCAGATACTGCCTGTGTAGTATTCTGTGCAAAGAGACTACTGTCCAAGGTCTGCGTTGTATTAGTGCTGCTGGTAAATCCCACAGTGACACAGAATTTAAACCACAATCAGAAATCAACCATCACATTTAAGATGCAGTGAGATTAAAAGCCACACTGCATCTGGGTACGTGTACATTAAGAAGAGTGACGTTAAAAACCATATGGCAAAGATTTCCAGAAACATTGCAGAGTGAGTCACAAGACTGCGGTGAGTATCCTGCACAGATCGGACCAGCGGGATATCCAATCAGAGCAAAGCTGGCTAATGAAACACTCTGACCCAGGGTTCCCCTAATAAATCCAAGAATGCACATATTCTTACATAGCATGCTCATTATAGATGCTTATCCAACACATTCACACACGAGCACTGACAGTCGAGTGATACAGCAGGCCTGCATGATAGATGAAGGCTGTAAAGAAGCTTTGCGGGATAAATCCAAAGCACAGCTGTGCTCTGTAACCCCCCTCAAACACACACACACACACACACACACACACACACACACACACCACACACACACACACACACACACACACACACACACACAGAATCTGTGAACAACAAAGCTTCACCACTGCACATGATCAGGTCATAGATGGATTTCATAGGCTTGGCCAATTTATTACTCCCTCTTATTGATAGTGTGACTGGAAGTGAGTCTTCCAACTCTATTTTATTCCTGATATTTTTTTAAAAGTTCATTATTATTTTTTTTTCCAAAAAACCAAAATTTGTTCATAATTCATAATTTCCATGTTTTTGTTTGCCTCCCATTCTGTGCATTTAGGTTAAAAAACCACAAATATCAGATATCCTTGTGCACAGGTCCACACCTCAGCCGCTCTTCTTTTAGTCTACTGACCTGCCGCGAGTCTCTGTCATGTTTCAGGTCTATCTCTAGCACAACAACCCAGCCCTTCAGCAGCACTAATTAGCTTAGCACAATAACCCACTGGCACATAAGGTTCCAGGCTTTACACTTCGACCTCAAGCACCTCCTTGACTTCTGCCTCCATGAGCACGCAGAGCAAATCTGCTTTTCATTCGCACTATAACCTACACACGTTTGTTTCATTTGCAAATCCGCAAAAGCCAAAATGCGCACATTAGCAATACGGCATGTGAATTAGATTCGCTCTGGAATAAAGTCGATCTTCTCCATGGAATTTTTTCTTTCTGCTAGATTGTTTTTCTTAAGATTATTTTCCATGACTTTGTTGATATGAAATTGTACATAAGCATTTTTAAACTTTATTCATTTTTAAATACAAGATTTCCATGTTGGTTAAAAAAGCAACAACAGGCTGAATTTTAATGAGTTAAACAAAAGTCTTTCCCAACATCTTGTTCATCTAATGACTCAGATTTCTCTGAAGCCTCGCTTTTGAACTATTGACACTAAATACACAAACTTACTTTAATCCAAAGAAAGCAAAATACAGCCAAGTTTTTACTCCCTTCATCCTTCTTCCATGGGACTACATAAAAACAAGCACTTAGGCAACTCTCTTTAACATAGTCTATGCATTTTCTGGCGCTACACTTGCAGCGCTCTGAGCATAACGGAAATAATTAGTGGTCTCTTACCGAATGAGGTCCAGCAGAGCATCAGCAGAGCTGGTCATTGGCTTCTTGCTGTCCTCAGAATCCTCCTTCTGTGCAGCTCCACCCGGGTGAATGATGTAAACCATGAGAATACCAACTACCACAGCAACAAAGGTGGTCCACAGGTAGTATGAAATGGTCATTATTCCCAAGCGGCTGGAGCACTTGGCATCCAGAGCAGCCAGACCGGACATCAAACTGAGAGCAAGTGGAGACACACAAAGGCGGAAAGAGACAAGATAGAGTTAGAAACCAAGAGGGAGTTGAAGAGATTGTGGCTGAAGAGATGCTTCTGCTCAGTGTCAGAGTGAACATTTTGAAGCTGAATTTTTAGTTTTCCTGCAGAAGAAGAAAATCAGTAGTGATCAGCTACATGCAGCTGCAAATGTTCAGCCAACTCGTGTAATGTAGATCCTTGCTGTAACCACCCTGCAAACAAGTGGCCCTCTACTACACAATCCAAAATACAACTATTTATTATTTTCTTGCTTTACTGATGCTAGATTTAACTTTAAAACTCTTGACTATTAGAATAAAAGTTCCCAAACATATGAATAAGTATGCTGGGTCTTAAAGTGTATTATGATGAAAATAAACCGCTGGTGGTTCAACAGGCTCCAAATTTGTGAAACGCCAGAGGAAATATTCTGGCAAGCTTCAAATTCAGCATTCACCTTAATAACATGCTTTATGTGGATATGAAAGCAAGCAGAGCTTTAACTAGGTGTGCAGCTTTGAAATGAATGCAGCACTTAACCAATCTCAATCAGCCTGTTTCAATTTTGAGAAGCTCTCCGTGTAAGCCTCTGCAGTCTTAAACAAGACACGGCTTCTTCTACCTTAAGATACGTGAATTCAGCCGTGTAGCTTTGCACTCATCCCTCTATGCCAGTGAAGGGGATGAAAAGTTGTTCTTACAAACATTCGAAACAGTCGATGTTAATTTGCATTTGTATGGGCAGCTCTGAATACAGCGTCTTTTCAGATATTTGTTTTCACTGTACAAAGATGGTGACGCTCGTCGTATATACAAAAAAAAAGGAGTGAATGAGGGAGATTCACATAATTGGCTTCTCGGTGAGTTAAAAAAAAGTGAAAAATAAATGCAAATGACATATTTTTGGGAAGTGTGGGAGGATGTGGAGGGTGATGCTCGTGAAAGCAGAGAAACAGCGGTGGAGAGATCTTTAGCTGGGGAGACAAGATTTTCTCCCCATCCTGTGTAATCTGGTTCGACTTGGCAAGTGTTTGGGTGGATGTGCTGAGTTTTTCTGTGCACTCGCTGCCTGTGCTGAAACTCATACTGTCATGCCTCCTTCCATCATTTTTCAAATGCAAACTAGAGAGTCTCCATCTCCTGCAGGTTTCACACTGGGGACTATTGTGCTTTGAAAAGCCAGTCTGGTCACATGAATGGAAACTTGCGTCTTTCTGTGTGTGTGTGTGTGTGTGTGTGTGTGTGTGTGTGTTTGTGATAACATAATCAATTCTTGGGATGGGAGAAAGCATTTGATTAAAACTTGCATTAAAACGCTGCAGAACTTTATTATTAAATGCTCAAATTAAGCGAAGGATCAATTTTTTCCACTGAAGCCAAATCATAATTTCACAGCTGCAAAAACGCTGATGCGCTTGAATGATAAATAAAGTCACATCTTCACTTGATTTTGCTGTAACTATGGTAACTATAGCACAATCTTGGCTTCCTAAATGGAAAAATTATGCTTTTCCATTTACTGAGGACTAAAGTTCAGACAGTCAATTCATCTGCATAGATCACTCACCTTTGTTGAGATGTTAAAATGAAAATGTAACTGAATGGTTAAAGAACCACACGTGTAAGTACAGGATAATAGCAAATTCTAACACTGTTAAATTACTACTGGTTACAAAGTCACGGTGGTGTGTTGGTAGTCTCTAAACTGGTTAAATATCTACAACTGTTTTCTGCGTAGCAAAAATGCTTCACAATTAGACTCAACCAGGAATGCTGGAAACTGGTTTGTTACTAAAAGTGAAAGCACAGTCTCTCTGTGAGGAAACCTTTAATGTAATGTTTCATTTTGCTTATAAGTAGCCCAGAATTGCAGATCCCTCGCACCGATCCATCTATGCATCTACAGGGATTAGAACCCAACTTGTCAATCATAGGGCAACAGGTTGGGTACATCTTGGACAGCTCATTTCTTTATATTTTTCAGACTTGCTTGTCATTTTTTATGGTTTTGAGCTGGCTTTCTCGATACCTCTCAAAGATTTTCTTTGGTCATTGGCTAATTTGTCCCTCTTCAGTTCAGTCTTCATACCTGATCATTTTCAGAGAACTTTTTTTTGTTACTTCAGCCACTAACACTGACCAATCATTCAGGCCTGTGGTGTAGGAGATCTTGACATCACTGATGTAATTATAAAAGCAGAAATGTACAGACAGATTTTACCATTTGATTGACAGTGGCTTCATTCTTAAGCATGACAACAATGCCATACGCACTGCCAGTACAGTTAAGACACACCTGGATAGAAAACCAGTCAATGAAAGGTTGGCCTCCCCAGAGGCCAGACCCTGAACATTACTGAAGCATCTCGACAGAGAACAAAAGGCAGCCGACATCCAAAGATCTTTGAATGTCCTTCAAGAAGTTTGGAGAACTATTCCTGAAGACTTCTTCAAGAAATTAAAAGAAAGCTTGCCTAAGAGAGTTCAATATGTGTTGCAGAGTAAAGAGGGTCATTTCAAATACTGACTTTAAAACTTAGAATTGTACAAACTCTGTTTTTGTCTGCATTTCTGTGTTTTTTTGGAAAACCACTACAACAATTAACTGGTAATAAAACATTTTTTAACCTTTCTTATTCAAAATGCAGCTGAGTATAAATGTCAGTGTCAATAATTTTATCACGTGATTTGTTTTAACAAAGTCTCTTTTACCTTGATACAAATATCGAAGTTATTACTAAAACTGGCTATTATCTAAAAAATAATTCTAATGAATTAGTTTAAATCTGTCATGAAAGACACCTGCAGTGAAAGGGAATAAAAAAAGTAACGATTCTCTGTCGCCTACTTGTTAGAGGCTGACTTTGCCTAAACACCTAAACAGTGAAATGAGTAACGTCAGGGGTTACAGTGCAGGTGAGCGAACCCTGAGATCTGTGTAGTGTCTCAGCACAGGGAAAAGAAACACGACTCACAGTAATTTCTAATGTGAGCTTCAGTAAATTCCCCTTCTGTACTTGATGTGATCAGCTGACCTGCTGCTCTGGATTTCTACAGCTGAATCCAAGTTGTCAGCAGTTTCACGAGCTATCCTGGCTGACGTCCATCCCCGACACTGACACAATACTGTTTATATTATCTTTACACTGGGCAGCATAAAACTGATATAAAGTTGCCATTCGGTTAATTAATCTAAGTATCATCTGCTTAAATGCAGCTTCATCTCTGCTACACTTGATGCCGTCTAACTCTGACCATGAGCACCACAGACACTGTGTATCAGTCCAACACAGCTTTACTGTCAATTCACCACAATACTGCAAACTAAAATGTTTATCCTGCACTAAACTACCCAGTATTTTCATGCCACGTTTGAATAACACAAAGTTAGCATAGCTTTATAAAAACACATCCTATACAAATCCAACACGCCTTCCTTTCTACATCTTTCTCCATCTCTGAGTGAACTTATCTCACCTTGTGAAATACAGCAGCTGGACCTTTAGCTAGTAACACACTGTGAGACAAACTGGACACAGACAGTTTGTGTGTTTGCTGATGTTTGCTGAATGCTGAAAGAGTATAAATGCTATAGAAGTAGAGAGTAGAAAGATATTTGTTTAAAAGTGTGGGGAGGAATAGTAAAAAGCAAAAAAGTAAAAGCTTCTATATGCAGATGTTTTCTTAAAAGACCAATAAAAAGTGCAAAGGTAAGAATCTGTACTCTCTAAAACCTTTGCCAGTTCCTTTTCCACAAGGGCAGTCTAGACCTTTGCTCTTCTAAAGGCTTTCCAGGAAAACCCTGTTTTGTCATTGGACAGTTTGACCCCGTGTGCACTCAGCTCTGCTTACATCTTGTACTTACAAATCTCAAAAGATTTGACACTCAAAGGTAAATCTGGCATTTTAACTAAAAAAGAAAAAAACTGAATGTTATGAGTTATAACGCTTTATAATTCACCAACCACCGTGATATTAATTCTTATCACATACATACTGCACTGATGGGCAGGTTATTCCACCCACTATTTCTTTCTGTCTATTAAAGAAAAAAAAACCAACTCAGTGGTTTACCCTTTTCTGTTTTTTTTCTCCTTGAACTGAACATTGTGATGCGACTGGAATTGCAATCACAGAACGGAGCATCGCTCGTGGGAATAAACCTTGCACCCACTGGTACATCAGATAACAAATGCAGCTGCAGAAATGATAACTAAAGGGCTTGCCCTGAGCTGCTCAGGGATTAGATGACCCCCAGCAGAAAAATCAAAATGTCATAAGTAGAATGTCACACTGCATTGCACTGGCAACATGTCAAAACATTAATCTTCAGGATAATCGCAGACAACAGTTTAAACTGAATATATATATATGTATATATACACCAGGCCTTTGTGGATTTGTATGTATGAAGCTACAATAAAAGTTAAAGTTTGATGAATGAATTTAATCAACATCATCAGCTTAAATTTACATTGAAATCTTCTAGCCGTCATGTAGCTTCACGTTGACCACAAACAGCACAGCTTGCATTGTGAATTACACGGTAATCCTGAGAGGGCAGATGCACTGCGACTTAAGAAAACAAGATGAAATAAAAAAGAAATGCTGAAAAAGCTCGCAAAACACAATGGAAGTTGAATAAAATACAATAGAAGTAGTGAAAAACCTCACAAAACACAAAGAAAGGATTGTGACGGAAAAGCTGTTTCAATGCGAAGGACATGCGAAGGACTGCACTGAGACATGTTTAAAAGAAGCGGATGTCACGGCGAGTGAGATGAGCCGTGTGGAGATAACAAAGGAGGATCCAGTCGCAGGCACTCGTGAAGGTGAGAAGGTGGTTTATTGGACACAAAATGCAAACAGAGAAACGGCAAACGGGACTGAAGACTATCTAAACTGAGAACAACTAAACTACTGAACACAAACCAGGACATGAACATGAAGGAGGATGAGCAGAGGTAAGTGACGATGGACAGCAGGGAGAACATACAGATGAAA